CTCTTTCCATCTGGTGCTGCACACTATGGGGGAGCTACCAGCAAGGCATTGCCATGTCCTTGTGTAGCTGGGGTACACAGGTGAGAGGGAGCAGCTGCTGGGGGAAGTGCTGTGCTTCCTCCACTGCTCCAAGGCCCAGCGGCCCACTTTCGTCACAGCAGCTGGCTCCCACTCAAAGAGACTCGATGTTTTCAGGACTCTTTGGTCCTTTCCTGTCACTCACCTGGAGTTGCATACTCTTCTGTAACCTCTTCTCGAAGACGGGAAACCTGATTTGCATTTTCTCTTGTTTATTCTCCTGAAAACAAGAATCCTGAATGGAAGAATCCTGAACTGAGGATAGCTTGTCACCATAGCATTGTGAAAAGTTTTTCTTAACTGGGCTATTTCCTGCCTCCCAGAGGAGATCTGACGTGGATAGCCAGCTGCTGGAGGGTCTCCGTTCCAGTCATGTTCAGGCACTACTAAATACTCCCTGTATAGCCCTTGGGGCCCAGCAGTGCCCAGGCCAGCAGCCCTGTCTTGCAGGAGGGCGGAGGGATGGGACCAATCCAGGAGCTCGCCTCCTATACGTGAGCTACAGGACCTAGCAGTGCAGGGAGCTCACTGCCAGTTTCCACATTTCCCCAGGTTTCTTTCAAGTCACGCTGTAGAGGCATGCTCACTCTCAAGAAGGAAATTAATCCAGTCCAGGACCAGTCCCTGGGGAGTCCTAAGATACCAAGGAAAGAGGGCTGGCAGTGAAGGCACTGCTGGTGCTGAGGAGTCTTTTCCTTGAAGATGATGTCACCAGCATAGAGGAGCTTCCAGAAAAAGCCTGTTACATGAATCCCTAATGTTTATGATGAACCATGAAAGAGCCAGCACAGATCTCCAGGTGAGCTGCTAGTGATGGCAGATACATCGCTGAGCTGTGTCAGCCCCTGCTGTGGCATTCTCCCATGTTGGGCTGCCTTGCGCAGCAGCCCTAACCTCCTGCATGTCTCACCGACACCCAGCTAGCAAAGGCTAGCGCTAGCTAGCACCACCTGCAGCATTTTCTTCACTTCTGGAAAGCAGCCCATTTGCTTGACAGTTGGTAGTTATCCACAGGAATTGGGCTTTGCAGGTCCTAAATAGCAAACTGGGAAGTATATGGATCACTGCTGAAGAAAACTTTAGCGTAAGTATATAATAGCTTGGCATGAAGTCACAATAAAAACATGAAATGACCCATGTTGGAAGACTGAATGTTCTGACCGCAACTGTGAGTAACAGATATTTATAGGAGAATTGTTATAACAAAGTGTAAAAATGAGGGTCATCTAATAGTTTTAATCCTAAGCACAACAGGAAGTACATCCACAATTACATGGCAAGGAATTTCCATAGCAACTGATAACATTTTCCATTAACATGGAGTTAATTTCAGGCTATAAACAGCCTGAGGACACAGACTGCATAATGATGTAGCAAGATAACTGACTCCATACATAGAAAAAGGAAATGATTCCACTGTAAGTATGGTGAAAGGCAGAGGGAATAAGAGTGGGACTCACAGACTAAGAGTGTTGTCCCAGTGTATCATGTCACAGGCGGGAAATGCTCCTTGCCCTCCATTACCACCGGATCTCGCTACATGGGTTTCCCTGCAATGGACTGGATAAATAATCCAGGTGCTAAAAGTTTGTGTTGCTTCTTTTTCCTGAGCCCATAATTGCGTCATTGGTCTGTTCTGGCTTTGGAACAAAAGGTATTAATTAACTCTGTTACCAGACGTGCTGCCTCCTTGATTGGTCACAAATTTCCAGGAACCTGAGAGCATTAACAGGCCTT